GGTAGCTTTAATGTAACAGAGAGCCAGGCACTATTGACTTTAGATCTATGACAAGTTCAGTCACCATGTAGCAGCTGGAGAATAGCCAGGACAGGACCCATTGACCTTCTCCACAATATTATGGGGACATGGGTCCTCTCCAGCTTCCCTGTCTTGACATACAGGTAAGTAGTTGTTTAGGAATGGTACTCCCAAACTTAGTGCTCCCGCAGAGATTCTCATCATGCTGCTCACTCGCTCGCTCCCCTCTCTTCCCCTGCGGCATCCTGGAGAGGAGAACTGGAGGCATGAAAGGTGAAACTCACCAACGACGATCAATTTACTAGAAAAAATGATGAGGTAAGAGAAGTAACAGTAACAGCAATGTTGTTAATATCAAAATGCACAGGATAGGCAAATGATTCACATGTGATTCCTTGGAACCGGCGTTACCCCACTCCTCCCTCTGCCACTCTTACTTGACTGGAAGGGATCCCGTCTGCCCAGGAGAATCCCTTTCCCCCACCCCCAGCAAAGAGCTGGTATAGGAAAACCTCTGGGTCCATGCCCTGTCCTGACTACTGCAAAAATTAACTCTCTGCTGGCCAGAACGAAAACAAGGTAGCATCTTGGAGAATCGGAGGGAAAGAAGAGACACCCACTAGCTCTCCAGTTATCAGGGATGTGAGGAAGCCTGGTGCAAGTTCATGCTCTGATGCAGCAGATTGGAGTCTCTTGGAGTGAAGGTTGTCATACTGAGGGCACTGGGCTTATTTCCTATGCCAACCTGAGCCTGTGAATGTGACGAGTCCTGCAGTCTCTCATTAGCAAACCAGACTGTAAATGGAGGAGAAATGACTGCTGCCTCTGTTGTGATGATGTGATAGACTTGAATTTGAATTATTGGTTTGGGACTAGCCCTCAAATCCTTTCTCAAGAAAAAAGCAAGTGAATAATTTGAAAAAGAGAGTGTTGTTCCCTATCCCACCTCTTATCCAAAGCATGTGACATATGCAAGAAGAAAAACCACCAATTTTGCTTGCTGTGCTATCCCCACATCTCTCTGTAGCCAGGATATATTAGCTGGATTGTAGGGATTAGGAGAATCAATCTCATTGCCTCCTGGTTAGGTCACAGATCAAGAGTCTGAATTCCTTCCAAGGAGACTTGAATTAATTTAGAAAAGGACCCTGAACCCTCTTTCTTATAAACATGATAAATATTCTTCCCATTAAGCTTGGACACAAAGGAGGCAGTGGTACAGTTGCAATTACTGCTTCTTCCACCCACATTTGAGACAAGATGGATTTATCCAATATGCCTGCAGAAACAAGTATTTCTGGAAAAGAACAGCTCTAAACTGCCCCTAGAGCTATCCAACAGCTCAATGGCATTTCATGGGTCTGAATTCTGAAGTGATTCTGAAGTGACTTTTAATCACAAATTCATTTCATCACCACCTCCTCTCCCCAGTGTTTTCACATTTGTAGTCCAGTGATTTTTATCTGTTCATGAAGATGATCCCATTAATGGCATGACCCGAAGAGTATCACCTCATTTTCTGTCCTGGCATTCCCTTCAAACACAGGAACTTTTAACCCGGACTTTCCTTTCCCAGCCCTCATATGTAAGGTAAACCACACGAGAGGATGAAGGATCCTCTCTTCTTTACATTGCCTGGCACAATGCAGGACAGCAGAAAAGTTAGCTTCACTCTATGTGTCACCAAGTACCTAGTGACAGGCAAACTGCAGTATTTTTGATTTGCATAATGGAGACTTTACTTTTTCTATAAACTATACAATGTAATTATTCAATAATTACAATACAGTGAGAATTGTCCAAATAAGTGGACATTGTGATTCATTACCCTTGCTTTTTATTTTTGTTCTTCACCTGCTTTAATTTTTAATTGTAAATTCAGTGCTTTGAATAGAGTCTCCAGTTCTTAGTTTGTAATAGGGAGGACTTACTGATCAATTTGTTAGCTTAGTTATGGTGAAAAAGTGAATAATGAAAAGTGAAATAGCCCCTGGCCAGTCAAAGCCATTCACTATAACAGGTGTTTTAGAAATAATTATTCCCACTACAGAGAAAGAAAACAACTTGTGGTGAAAGGAAAATAAATATTTATTTGTTGTATGTGCAGAGCATATAACACCCTAATCTCAAGAGCCAAGAACAGCTTCCCACTACAAGGAATAAAGCATCCATTACCATTGCCTCTGCTCTTCCCATTTGCCCCTGCTATTTGAAAAAACACTTTCTGCTTTCTCTATTGCTCCTCTATCCAAGCCCCAAAGCCTTTGCCTTTCCTAATGTTCAGAGCACCTGCTCTTTCACTTCTGTGTTGATTCAGCTTTTATGAAGCTTTGAGGTGACTCCTTCTCCAAAGTTTCCACAAGTTTCTAGCTGAACAATTTTGTTGTTCTTTGTCATGCACTTGGTTGGCAACTGAGGTTTCTGGTGATGTGGCAGGACAAGGCAAGGATGGAAGTAAGGTGTGTTTTGCAGGCCCAGAACATCATGGAGTATTCAGAAGATCTCCATAATGTGAGAGGGCAACAAGATGAAAAAAGACTCAGAATTAAGTACAGAAAAATTTAGAAGGACATGAGGATGTTTTCCTGAAGCAATTCATCTGAACTGGTTCTTAGGTGTGCAGATGACAGTGCCTACACACCATCTTCCCCACCATAGTGTGAGACTCCACCCAGAGCTTCAAGAGTTCCATCCAGAACTTCAGCAAGCCTTCAGTGGGTGGCAGACTCCACTTTCTGTAGGTAGAGCCCTTTCCCATTTACAAACTGTGCCTACCTGAATGTTCTGCTGACAGTGGCAGATCTGTCTGTGCTGTGCTCTGCAGGTGTGAAGCTGCACAGGTGCCTTCAATGCCCCGGAGAGATGAGATGGGATGGCAAGAAGTGGAGGCTGCAAGCACCAGCCAAGACTCTGGATGTAGGATGCTGACACATCTGGTGGGACAATGTTCTCTGCACAGCATCTCCTCTGAAAGGGCAGTGTGTGACTGGATGGAAATATCACAGCAGCCAGGCCAGCCTATGTCTTGCCCCATGGACCATGTAGGAAAAGCAAGATATAATACTGTGACTGACTGGAAGAGCCTTAGTTAATTCAAAGACCGATTGCGTCCAGCAGCAAGAATTGCACAACAGCTACAAATCAAAACAATAGAGAAAATGTCAGTGGGAGTAAAAGCCACAATGTAAAATATAAGGGATTCCACTGTACAAACTAGTGTCCAGTAGACTCATACCAGATCAAATTTGTGCTTAAATCACAGTAACTCCAGTCCCCTTATAACTTCTAGCTTGTCTGGTGATTCTTTATTGCTATATATTATTTTCCCATTCTTTTTTTTTTTTTTTATTTTTTAAGCCACTATAAAACTTTCCACATGACAAATGTCTGGGTACTCCACCTTTCTCTCCACATAACCTTACTTTTTAAAGAATCTGTCCATCAGTCAAATGAGGAGTTTTTTTCCTACCTGTAGTTCATCATGTGGCAATAGGTAGCTAGGTCTGCTGAGAGCAGTATCTCCAGCTAAGCAAAATGCCTTTCCTTGCCATGTGCAGAGACTGTGAAGCTGCAGATCCACCAGGCATGCCAGCACCTTCTGTTTAAAATCTATTTTTCCTTTGGGTTTGGGCCAACAGTTCAAAGCCAATTGCAGTGGTTGAGTCCAGACTTCTATGAAATGGCTTTCTCGGGTAGTGTCTAATACCTTTCCTTGACAGCCTTGTCAGTACTGGAGCATGTTTCCACATCTTGGCTTGGGGTTAAACACATTCAAAATGTTGTGCAAAATGGAGGCTCAAATACAAAATGGAATGCACAGTTTGAGTCTGCTGGATCCCACTGTGTCATGGCATAAATGGTACTCCCCCAGCTGCCTGGAATGGCAGGCTCTCCACTGGTCTCCCTGCTCTGGAGAGAAAACAGTAAAACTAGACATGGAAGTGGACAATAAAAAAAGATTGGAGGCATGGAATGACTTCCATATGAATAGAGACTGAAAAAGTTGGGATCATTTGGAGAGGAAATGAAAAATTATATGGTAGACCTATCCAAGCTAGGTAATAGACCTGAGAAGATAAATCAGATGCTCTTCCTTACCATTTTTCCTTACACACACACACAAAAAAAGAAATCCTGGGGGAACACAATGAAACCAAGACAGTGAAGTAAAATTTATAAGCGATAGTAAACAGGTATTTACCTTATGAAAGACATTATTCTGGGATATCACTGAGATCAGGAAGACAGAGGACATGAAAGAGGCTGAAATTTATCTGTAGGGGAAGCACCCATGGGATCTTAACTATGAATACATAAATAGGAAAAAACCGCCAAGATACTCGATACTTGGTGCAAGACAGGTAAAACCTTTCCTTTGTTTATTAAACTTAGTTTCTATGTATTGGAAACTATTTGGTGTCCATGATCGTGCACTGGCAACCATCTGAAGTAAAGGTGTCTCAGGAGGATGGAGAGAAGGAGAGGTGTTGGTGGCCTCTTCTCTGTGCCAGCACTTTGAGGACTGTGGCCGTCAGCACCTTTTGAAACCATTGGCAACTGGCTATACTTTGTTGGGCTGTTGAGTTTGGCATAAGGGACAGGACCTAACTGTGTGGTAGAGCCTTGTCAGTGGGAATATCCACAGCTCCCAAGACCTCTTGGTCCATAGATGCCCCTGTCACGGGTAAATAAGTATAGGGCCCCTAGGCCAAAATCCAAAGAAGGATGTGGATGCCTAATGTATGATTTAAATTGTCACCAGGTGCTGAAATTTGAGCCAAAAAAGCTCTTAGGGTCCTGCAACTCTGCAGCTGTATACACTGAGTAGTCCTGCTGGTTTGGCTGAGCTGAACCTACATCTTTCAAAAGCTAGAGCTCAGCAATCTCCATTTCTGGGGAAAGTGTCCAGAGCAGAAGACTGCAGAACCTGTCCTGTCCTTTCTCTAGCCTCATGAACTCTCCGTTTTCTGTTTCCACAGGGGGCTTATCTTCATCAGGAGATGTGGGAGCTGCTTCACCTGCCTCCCAGGGAAATAAGCAATTGGTGCAGTCCACAGATGGGTGGCTAGGACACCTTCATGGAAGTGGGTAATATAGAATCTGACCACCCAAATACAAGGGAACTTACCTCTTCCTTGTACTTTGAGGAAATCACAGGGTAACTGCTAAGCTGTTACATACAAGATTCTTATCACCACCCCTGCTAATGAAAGCATCTCAAGCTTTCATGATTATCAGGAAACTGTAGGTGTGCTTTGAATATATTTACTGGATCCAGCTTCCTTGAACTGAGGCACAAGTCATGAATCTCACAGTCTTTGGCAGAGATGGAGAAAAAATATTTGGCTCAGCCGGTATCATGGTTCCATTGGGCATGCTTTGCAGCAGAAATGTTGACGCCAAACTAAGCTTTCCTGTGCAAACTTAAGCGCTTACAGACTCTCAGACATCTAAAGGATTAAGCAAATCCTTTGTGGATCACATATTTGGACATGGGTGACTAAAGTCTGCCTAAAGTGCTTGAGAAGTTGGTTTGTGCACATTGTAATTTTCCAGTTCCTTCCAACTAACCCTTTGGTGTTATATTGGTGATAATTACTTCTCTGTCTTTGAATGTCTGTCTCAAAGGGATCTGTCTTCTCAGTAGCATAACTTTTTGCGCAACTGGTAGAAACCATCTTCTCTCTCAAACCACCTCGCTGATTAAAACAGCCAAATTCAGAGCAATTGTTTGCATTCCAGATTTAGTTCTGAAGTTTGTTGCCTCCCTTTCTGAAGTAATGAACAACATCCTTCACTTCATCTGTTTTTTCCCCATCCATTTCTGCTGGTGTGATGCAAGATGTTGTTTCTTTATACCAGCTTTACCTTGTTTCTAGGACAGCATTACATGTACAAGAGGCTTCAACCTCTGGGATAGACACATCCAATGTCACCGAGAGTTCTCAACAGGACAAAGGAAAACCAAGTACTTAGTTTAACTCTTGCAACCAAAAGACAAATATTCTGAACCTGTGAGGAAAGGGAAGTGAGTTTTCTACCACTGACAGAGAGCTGAAGAGCTGTGTAGGTAGAGACAGTTATTACAGTCCTGCTGCTCAGCCTTCGTGCTCCCCACAGAAAAGCTCTGCAGCTGTTCTGCTATTTTTCATGAAAGACTGATTCCTTTTCTAGCTGGTTGTACCCTGGGAGAGCTGCTCCAGGAGTTTTGCCAGCTAGAGCAAGATTTGGGAGGGTGAAGGCCAGCTTCTCATTTGGAGCAGACAGGTAGCAAAGACGACTTATTTTAAAGAAGTACAAAGAGCCATGAAATATCCAGGGCAAGATTCATCCTGGCTAGCTGGTGATGTCAAGAGTAGAGGTATTCACACCTGTGTTAGTCATTTACCTCTCCCAAGAGCCCATAGAGACCTAGTTCTGAGTTAGATTAAGATGAAATGTGTCCAAAAGCATCTCTTTCTCCCCTCTGCCCCAATGCCAAATAAGCACTGTGCTATGTCAGACACAGACATCTACATCCAACCTACCCCATCCTCAGCAGGTGCTTGCCAAAGCCTCTTAGCTGAGTCTGGCTACACCCATAGAACTTGCCTCCATGTGTATAATGTGCTGCTGCTCCAGAGAGGGAGAGCAGACATCCCTAACCTTTACTTTGCTGCCTGCTACTTGTGGCAGAAGGGTGGTGGCACATCTGCATCTCTCCCCAGTCACATCTGGTTGAGATGTGGTAACAGACTCTCTGCACAAGGTACCTCCTGAGGGCTATGAGGGGAAGAGTGCTGCAGCATTTGAAGCAAGGGTGGCCAGCAAGAGACATATCCCTCTTTGTCTTATTTTGTTTTCACCCACATGGCACGTAGCTGCTTACAGAATGAGATCCGGCCCTCTAGGAAGTACACATGCTTGCATGTGTTGGATGCACACATAGATGTGTGTTTGTATGTGGTTTACTGAGAATTAAAAAAGCTTCTTTTCGCCTCAGACAGTGCTTCCAGTGCTTGCTTTTTCAGTTGGGGGGACTGTGTTTTTAATCTCTCTAATACAAAGAAAACAATGGACCTCTTTCTCTGCTAGCTGTAAAGGGTCATAAGTAAAATGAGTTTTGGCAGACTCCTTCCAACTAGACATGCAACCACATGCAAAAATGACTCTAAATTTAGTATGTCATTTGTCAGGGTTAACCCTTCCCTTCCTCCAAGGAAAGGAGCTTATTTGTTATCTTCTTATAGTATGTATTTGGAAATTTGTCTTGCCTTTACAAAACTCTAAATTGTAGGAATTTATAATGGCCTTTTGTTTTATAAGCCTTTGTTTCTCTTCAAAGTTATGATAAATGCAACTTTATCCATGCTTCTGGGAACAGGACACAGTACTTTCATGCAAGAATGGGTATCCTTACAACCAAGGGAAGTGTTTTCCTCCCCTGAAAGTTTTTTCATCCCCTGTTCAGATGGGGGGGTGGGGTGGTCTTGCTTTTTTGTATGGACCTTAAAAACTGTTGGACTCAGCCCTGTGTATTTCTGTAAGTCCCAGTCACCAGCATGAAAGTAAGTTTAATGGAATAAGGTTACCACTGTGAGAAATCACTGAGCTTAAGTCAGTCCAGAAGTCTTTGAGAAATATTATATTGCACCTGAGACTTTAAGCACACAGCCATTGGTGTAATACCTGCTACAGCAGGAGAAACAGGAACTGACCTTCATCTGCAGCTATTTCTAGCAAGAAAAGAAACACTGAAAACATCCCAGTCCATTTTCCAGCCTATGAGGTTTCTGATGTTAGTGAGTGCTGTTTTATAGGGTTATCACAGAAAAATAGCAGGAGGTCCAATGCAAGATATAGTTCACATAAATCCTTGGTCTACTCTGAGAAAATGGTATCTCTAGAGCGGTGCCAGCAATAATGTTGGGCAAGGCAAATTACTTGGATGTATGAGAGAAAGTGGTGTCTTACCCACTTTGAAATGCATTTCTTGGAAAAGTTCATCTGAACTGGTCTGATTCTGTCTATGTTTCTCCCTCTTACTCTCTTTCCCCTCCCACACTCAAGAGAACACCGTTCCCAGAAGTCCCAGAGGACATTTCTAATTGAAAGCAATGATTGTGAGTCATTCCTGTATATTAAGTGAAATACTCTTGCTTGCGTCCCAAGGGATAAAGTGATTAAACCCAACAGAGAAGGGCCCAGGAACTCCTGCTGTCCCTGCAACATTGAAATTAAAAATCAAGAAGATAAGTTAGTGGTACAGTATTTTCTTTCAAAACACATCTCTCCCTGAACTACCAGAGCCCACATACAAGGAGATAAAGAATGGATTGCATTTATGACAGTTTTAGACTCAGATTTTTTCAACTGAGACTGTTTGTTCTTCTGAACAAACTGTATGCTACCCTGTCCTGTTGTCTGGGATATAATGGAATATAATGTTAGCCTCGGACAGTGGTTGTTGAGCTAGTGCCAGCCTCACTAATGAGCATGTGGTTTCAATAATAATATGGCTACTTGTAAGATGGCTGGCCACAAGCCAAGCACTTAATATGGAGGGGGCAACAGATGTAAAAAAAGTACCATCTCTGACATGATTGCATTTCCAAAAATTCTCTGGCAAAAAAGTTCAGACTCAGCAAATCAGGATAATGAAGAATCTCCCCATATCAGGAAAGAATGAAGCTCTGACAAATGAATAGGAGTCCTATGAGGTTTGTGCACACATGGTAAAAAAGAAGAAATATAAGAACAGGGGTGATAAAAGAACTGATAATTCCTCTTTATGGAAAAAATTCAGTCTTTCTCCTTTCCTTTCTCCTTTCTCCTTTCCTTTCTCCTTTCCTCTCCTTTCCTTTCTCCTTTCCTTTTCTCTCCTTTCCTTTCTCCTTTCCTCTCATTTCCTTTCCCTCTTTCCTTTCCTCATTTTTTTTTCCTTTTGGACTTTCCTAAAAGTCCAAGTGCATCAAGACGGTGAAATGAATTACAGTTTAATAATATTCCCACCACACAGACAAAATGGATTCAATTACATAATGGTAGCATTAAATGTTACTATGAAGGGGATCCAGAGTCTTGAGTCCAGACTTTCAGAAAACCATGATAAGCTCTTTAAAACAGCTGAAATAGCACATTTATAGGTTTTCAAGCCATAGGTTTGCCGAGAGGAGGGAGCACAGGGAAGGAGTCATTATATTTGCTCAGGGGCTTTGGTGTGCTAATCTGGTATCGAGGATTGAGTGTGCAGAAAAGCAGTGCCAGAGAGTTTCCAGTTGATTATTACTCCTTAACCTGTATAGTCTGAGGTTGCTTTCTGGAGCAGCTGCCCTTGAGGGAGAGCACACGTGTCAGAGCTTTGGGTGGAAACGTCAGCCCTCGGGCTCCAGCCACAGCAGCACGGCGTGGCCAAGCCAGCCAAACCTGGGCACAGCCAATGGAGAGATGGCAGAGGCAGCCCTGCCGCACATTGGGTTGCCCCCAGCACTCCCTGCTCGGTCACCCACGGGCTTTTGGGTGGCATGGAGGTGCTGAGCTGTTTTCACACAACCAGACCTCTCTGTTCTGGACTGCTGAGAAGGTCTCTCTTTGGATAGGGCACCACTGAAACCTGGAGCACACTGTGCAGCTCTCACAGAATGGGGCAGGCAAAGCGTTGTTATCTACTATAAAAAGAATGTCACATTCTTGATATTTAGAATTACAGATAATATTTCATGATCCTTTAACAATATTTTTCTTCTTTCCTTCCTGGAGAAAAAGAAAATGTGATTTAAAAACAAGGTAGGAAATAAGCAAATTAATCCCATAACTTTTAAGTTAACATCTTTCCATTTTTTTAATTTGAGAAATTGGAGAGAAATTACAAAGAAGAGGAAAGTGGAAAAAAGAGTGGTCAGAACACAAAAGAGTTCAAAACTAAAATAGAGGAATGAACTTTTCTGACTGCCAGCACACAAATTAATTGTTTTCAGGCAGGGGAATTTTTAGTTCTCTTCACAACAGTGATAAGACATAAATATTACTTCTGAATTTTATGGATGATGATATAAACAATATTTTTAAAAAATTCAATTTCTATTAAAAATATATTTCGACAAACATTTTGAAAACTTCAATTATTCCTCTGGTGTAAAGTGTTCCAAATCTCCAGACTCCTTGTTTTCTTGATGATGCTTCCCTGAATATTTCCCTAAGTTTGAATGCAGTAACTCAAACTGGGTTGTTGTGTACTATTTACCAGGAAATGTTGGTGAAAGCTGCTTGGACCAGAATAATGTTGTGTGCCAGTGTTGTTAGACACTTCATGCCCTGCTGGGTGGCCAGTACCTTTGTCAGAGTGCTTGCCAATTCATGGTCTGTGGCCAAGGAACAGCATATACCCATGGCTGGCAGGCAAGAGAGCCTTGCACTCCTACAGTGCTTCTAACAAGTTATTCACATGCACCTCAGGTCATAATTGATCAAATATGCACATCCTCCAGCAGTGGTTTGGGGGCTTATCTGAGAAGAACTCCGAGATTTCTGCGTCCTGAATAGTCCTTTGCAATGTGATACCTGGGATGATGCACTAACTCTGGCACTGGCCACTGAAAAGTCATTTGTGTGAGGCTCCCTCCATTCTTGATAGGAGAGTGAGTGACAGAGGAACCTCTACATGATGTTTTATCTCAGCCTCAATAGATGTCTAAGGGAGAGGAGATGAATTGCCCTTTGAATGTGCTGCTTCTCATGTGTTTTTATCAAGGAGGGGGCTAAACATCTAGCTGGAAAGCAAATAGGTTCCTAAAGTTAAATGAGAGGTACATCAGCTGCACTGCTGGCAGTGTTGCATCCTTTATGTCCTGCCAATCTGAAAGTGCTCTGCGATTGTCATTCAGCTTTACTTTCAATGAATTGATATTGCAGATTCTTATTTTGGCTGCAGTGAATTAACTGAGTAAACAGTCGAATGAACTGGGCACCACAAAAGCTCTCTGGCTGGTTGCTGCATGCCCCCCAGGCAATAAAAACATGTGCAAAGAACAAAGAGCTGCACAAATCGACTGCAGATATGACCACACACGTTAAGATGTAACACGTCATTGAGACAGGAGAAAAAGCCTTTGTAGCAACCAGCGCTGGTTGGAACTGGCTTAATCCCATTAAAGAGCCCCAAAATCCACTGACAAAGGGCCAGCTTTTGTGCTCTTACTTACACTGGGGGAAACCTACTGACCTTGGAGAAAAGGAGCCGAAAGCAGGACCCGGTGCAGCGCGGTCACCGCCCTTGCCTACAGAGGTGGCAGCATGTGTACAGAGGTGGCAGCATGTGTGGTAAGCGGCAGGGCTGACATGAAAGTGTGTGTGGCACTGGTTTCTCTGAGCACCCTGCTGTCTGAGAGACTGAAGGACAGAGGAAGCTTGTAAATCTACTCATGCCAGGATGTTATGGCATGTGAACATGTGGATTTCAGAGGAAAGACAATGAGAGATGCACAGATACTGTGGTTTTTGGGACACCAACTGCTCTGATCTTGGATGCTCAGAGCCTCAGGCTCTCCCAGACATCCCGTATTTCAGCATGGTGTGAAGATCCAGTTGCTCTCTGCTTGGATGCCTGGATGAGAAATTGGGGAAGACCAAAGGGGCAAGGTGCTCATTTGTACAATCTGTGAAGGAGGTGCACACCCTGTTTCTAGCCACGACAGGTATCCAGGGATCCCCAGAGGTACTGCATTTCCACCTCTGTTTTTGTAAGTGATTGTGCCAAAAAGTTAAAAGGAGACTGAACTACCATGAATAATTCCTGTTGTGCCATTTCATCCTCTCTGAGTTTCTCAGTCAGTAGTGGTTTGCCAGCTAGAAAGGCTGTGCTGGCTGCCTGGGCAGCCACTGCCAAGGATAACAGCTGAGTTTGGAGCTCCCTTCCCTTACTGGGATCACAAATTCAAATCTATTCCCTCACCTCATGT